TGGTTGTTGAGGTGTCGCCAGAGCCCCAGGACACTAAACCAAGCCTTTCCTTTAAAACTTGTTGCAAGTCTAACCTCCTTGACAGCCTGTGCTTGGTAAGCATCAGATGTAGATAAACCCCTAGGGAGGGGTTAGTTATCATGGTATTAGGTGGTTTGAATTTTTTTCCAAATTTGAAAATGCTAAGGGAAATCCGTGCAACTTTTTATAAAATTTGCAGTTTTCATCATTGGACAGACCAAATTAAACTTGCTGCAATCTCAAGTAAGATTTAAGGTTTTTATAGTCCTGGTACTTTGATGTGGGATATTTTTAGAAGATAGGGTCAGCAGCAGTCTGAAGCTGAGCTTTTGGGGTAGAAGAAGCAGTTTGCCCTGGCAGAATACCTCCTATTTAGCAGTGGTGTTAATAACATTGTTTATTGTTCTTTGTGACTTTGTTGATAAAGTACTTTGCTTAGAACATCTAAGAAATGCATGCCATTGTTTAGACAGCAGAATATTAAAAATAAATGGCATAAGCTCATTTTAATAGCTGATAAAATAAGTTGGATCAGTTGATTTGTTGAGTTAATTAAGGCGGTGAGGCTAGTCATTCCACCATTTTGGTAGTAAGGTCTGTATGGTTCCTCTGGGAAATATCTTCAGAGTTTGGAATATAATCTTAACCATTCATTGTTCTTCTTGTTCGCTTAAGCTCATGTGTTTACTCTAGTGACAGGTTTGTCTTTATTTTTTTTTCTCCCTCTTGGTACTGGAATCAAACCAAGGGGTATTCCATCATGGAATTACATCCCCAGCCCTTTTTATTCTGTAATGTGAGACAGGGTCTCACTAAATTGCCTATGTTGGACTTGAACTTACTATCCTCCTGCCTCAGTGTCTCTGAGTTACTGGGATTACAGGTGTGTGCCACCACTCCCAGCCAGGTTTATACCTTACAGCTAAAGAGATCCGAAAGCTCAGTGGGTGGTAATATTCCAGACATTCCCTCCAACTCCCTCCCCTTCTCATCCACTTCCTAATTGAAGAGTGTAGGGTAGTTTCTTTGTTTTAAAAGACTATAAGAAGATTTCAGGATTGAAGTGTATACTATTTTTTTAAAATAACTGGGAATTTCTAGGTATTTTAATAGGTTTTTTGTAAGAATATATAGTTTTGCTTTAATTGGATTATTTAATAGCTTTTATTTCTTTAATTATATTTGCCAAAATACATTTTAAAATCACGTGCATTGTCTTCAGATTGTTTTTGATGTTTTTAATCTATTGACTTTTGTAGCTCTAAAAATGGAATTGCTATAAAAAATAAAATCTGCTATTTTTGTTTGAAAGCAACACTAAATTGTCTGTTTTATTGTGACCAAACCATTGTTATTTTCAGTAATGCCCAATAACACCCTGGAAAGGCCGTAAAGTAACAGGTGACTGAGGGCCTTGTTCATTAAGTGGTCTGATCCTGGGCCTTTTAACCCCAGGCATAACCATTGTCAAAATCTGTCTACGTTCTCTCACAGGGTATTTTAGACGTTCATACATTAGAATAAAAGCTTTTATTAGAGAAAATTTTGAATACAAATGGTGGAATTATAAGATCTAATTATCAAATTTTTTTTAAGAGAGAGAGAGAATTTTTTTTAAATATATTAATTTTTTAGTTTTCGGCAGACACAACATCTTTGTATGTGGTGCTGAGGATCGAACCCGGGCCGCACGCATGCCAGGCGAGCTTGCTACCGAATGAGCCACATCCCCAGCCCCTCTAACTATCAATTTAATAGGAAAAAAAAAAATTAGCCCCAACCACTTTTACCTAAATTGGAACTTTTCACTGATGCTTCTGAACTGTGTCCAGTCCCTTGGGGTATTTTGAGAGACAAATAAGAAGGTACTCGGCTAAACAGGAACTATGTTGATGTTGCACTTTGTTCAACAGTGAGAAAGTCTCTGGAAAGGCCTACAGGTGGTAAGATTTGTATATGAAAAGTTTGCCTTGGTCTTATCTATCCTTATCAGTTACTTTTTTTATAGACTAAAGAGTTAAATAAAAGGCTTATTTAATCGAGTGGATTTCTTCACTAGTATTTATATTTATAGCTTGGATGTGTAATTTATATTATTTTGTTTATAGAAATCCTGAAGGAATTGGACGAATATTACGAGAAATTTAAACGAGAGACAGATGGTGCCCAGAAACGCCGAGTGTTACACTGCATCCAGAGAGCCCTGATTCGGAGCCAGGAACTGGGCGATGAGAAGATTCAGATTGTGAGTCAGATGGTGGAGCTGGTGGAGAACCGGACCAGACAAGTGGATAGTCATGTGGAACTCTTTGAAACACATCAGGAAATCAATGACACCACTGGCAACAGTGGCAAAGCTGGCCAAGATAAGTCAAAGAATGAGACAATCACGCAGGCAGAAAAGCCAAATAACAAACGTTCCCGGAGGCAGCGCAACAATGAGAATCGAGAAAATGCATCTAATAATCATGACCATGATGACATCACCTCAGGAACACCCAAGGAGAAGAAAGCAAAGACCTCGAAGAAGAAAAAACGCTCTAAGGCCAAAGCAGAGAGGGAAGCATCCCCTGCAGACCTTCCCATCGACCCAAATGAGCCCACGTACTGTCTGTGCAATCAGGTCTCCTATGGAGAAATGATAGGTTGCGACAATGACGAGTGCCCTATCGAATGGTTCCACTTCTCATGCGTGGGACTCAATCATAAACCAAAGGGCAAGTGGTACTGTCCCAAGTGTCGGGGGGAAAATGAGAAAACCATGGACAAAGCATTGGAGAAGTCCAAAAAAGAGAGAGCCTATAACAGGTAGTTTGTGGACATTCACTAGTAGTGGGGAAAACAGAACCAGCTAGTGTATTTATTACATTGCCACCTGTGCTGAGGTGTGAGGGTTGTCAAATGTGTATTTTCAAGGAATGTTGGAGAAGGCACCGTTCCCTTCACAGGGATGGCAGTGACTCTCTCCACCTTTTGTTCTCACTGGTATATGTGTGTAAGAAGACAGTGGTCTGTGGATCAGCATTTTAGGAACTACAAATATAGGTTTCAATTAAACACTTACGTGAGTCTCAGACTGATTTTTTTTTTTCTTTTGTGTGTGGGGGGATGACTTGGAAGCAACCTAATACATTGTGATAAGAAAAGATTTATCTATTTTATTTTAATAAAAAATAATGTTACACATTATGAACATTTTTTTAATTAGCTGGGTTGCTAAAATACAGCCTATGGCACATTTGTTTCTTGTACCATAATGTACATCCATATAACAATTCAATAACAAAGGTTCAAAGTTGGAAGATTAATTTTAAGAAGGTACATGGTCAGTGGAAAAGTGCTCAACAAGCCCCAGACCTTGGGTTTATCCCCAGCTCTGCAAAAACAGGTAAAGGGTTAAGTTTTACGTGGCAAATATTTTATATACTGGCCTGTTCCCACAATGGCCATTTTTAAATGATTGGGTTCATTTTTATTATGAACCCAAAAGAAGTGGTCTAGTGATAGAATTTAAATCACGCTTTTGCTATCATAGATCATAGTGTGGTCATCTTTAACTTATGTCAAGTGTATAAATGTACATTTCCCAGAGATCTTGCTCTTGCTGTATTATAATTGGAAGCACAGCCTGATGTTGTTGTAAAACCAAGGTATGCTTCCTGTTGTGTGTGTGAGTTGTACAGGTGTGATGTCAAGAATAAATGAAACTTGGCCAGTTTGTTTCTCTAGCAGTATATTTAATTTTAGCCTAAGTACTTTTTAAATTTTGTCTTAAAAATTTATACACCAGCAGTTTAGACAAAGCCTTAAGCAAATTGTGTATTAACTGTCCTCAATATTGAAGTAGAAGTTACCTAATTGCCAGCAGATAAATTCATGTCAAAGAAGAATATATATTTAGACAGAGATCAGGAAATTGCACCCATCAAATCCAGCCCACCACCTGTTTTTATATGACCTGTGAACTACAAATGGTCTTTATGTTTTTAAATGGTTAAAAAAGATATTTCATGAATACATGAAAATTATATGAAATTTGAATTTTAGTGTCTATAAATAAAGTTTCACTGGAACACGGCCATGCTCATTTCCTGATGTATTGTCTGTGGCTGCTTTTGTAAAATGGTAGTTGAGTGGTGGTAATCAAGACTGCACGGGCAGAAAAGCTGAAGTTAACTTATTTTCCGGCCTTTTGCAGAACGTTTGCTGACCGCTGACTTAGACTAGCCTCTGGTGTTTTGATCTGTCCTTTCACGACCCCCTGGGTGATAATCATTCCTTAGTGATAATGTGGTTCTCTTTAGCTTGGAACATGGGAATTCAGTTCTTTCTGCAGCCTGCTGTACAGTGTCCATGGAGCCACCGCATAGGTGAACTGAGCATCATCTCTGTGAAGTTGGTGACAGCTGTGTCTACATTATGTAAAACAGTAAGTGTTTTTCTGATGGTTTACTATTTTTGGTGGTACTGGGTATTAAACCCATGAGTGCTATACCACTGAGCTATATCTCCAGCCCTTTGTTTCGTTATTTTGAGACAGGGTGTCGCCAAGTTGCCCAGGATGGCCTCAGACTTGCCATCCTCCTGCGTTAGCCTCCTGAGTTGCTAGAACTGCATGTATGTATATGCTGCTGGGCCTGACTCTAACCATAAACTTCTGATAAACAGTTATTGAGAACTTTACTCATACCAGACTTCTATTCAAGGAATTTCCACTATGGAGGGTTAATAGTGAAGTAAGAATTATAGTTGATCATATGTTAAAATTTCAACTTTTTGCATGTTAATAGTTAACAGCCCAAATACTTCGCTGTTAACTTTCTAGTCATTTTAGAATCTTGGGTGTTTAAATTTGAGATTTATCTAGACAAATAATGAACAACAAGAGTTTACTATATGAAAATAAGTTAGATAATTAAAATAGTTAATGAAAATCATGGCAATAAAAATAAAGAATCTTTGCTTGTGTAAAATTCTATGATAGTTTTTCACTTCCGTTTGGAGCCAATAATGAAAATTAAATTATAGGAGTGAAGATTCAGTGGAAAGCAGTTGCTGATGTTGGAACTCTTTATATTTTTTCAGTTTTGGTAATGGGGAGAGATGGCACTTGGGCCACACCTTGCTATATAGGTATCTCTTTGGTCTTTTGGGTGTTTGCTCTAGAAAAATGGCTTATGTGTTGGTCTACAATTTTTTTTACTTTTAAAATACTTTCTCCACACAGGGTGTTTCTGAGAAATGAGTGTGAGTCATTCAGTTTTGGAAAAGTTCCCCTAGCTTTAATGAGGTTTCTAATAAGGACACAGGCATTTTTCTTTAAAAAAAAAAAAAAAAAAAAGTACATTATGGAGTGAAATTTGTTGGAATTGGCAGTCTTAAATTATATGTTGATTCCAGTTGGACGGTAGAATACTCGAGTACAGGTAAGTACTTGGAACAGTCAAGATTTAGGGTTGAGATCATATTTATATGCAGTGGATGGTTCCTCGAAACCCCAGTGGGTACCAAGGAGGGTCTGAGTTTGTTTAGACAGTTGCTTCTATGTAAATATTCAGTATTTATTTGTTGCATAAAAACCAAGTTAGCAGTTCAAATAAAAGGTCTAAAATGTTCTCATTGTGGTGCAATACATTTATATTTTAGACTGATAAAGTGAATCTGATAGTTCAGTTAAGTGAGAGGGGGAGGGGTCTGGGGTTAGGGCTCTTCCAGGGGCTGAGAAGAGATGCTGCCTCCTGACAGACAGTGGCCTACCATAGGGACATACCTTCTGGGGACTTGGACCTTTGCCAGTGGCCCCTTCCAGTGTGATTAGAGCTATGTGAGTTGTCTAGGTACCAGAGACCTTCAGTGTTTGCCAGCACTCAGGTAGCAAAGCATTTATCAAAGTAAAAGACCATTGCTGTGTTCTGTTTTCAGAGGAGATACTTGGTTGAAATATTTCTGTGTTGCTTATATGTTCACTTTGTGTTCCAGACAGAATGATTAAAATTTGTCTCTGCAAGTTTAAATGCCACACTGGGTCATCTGCTATATAGTAACCTGTGACTCTCTGGAATTGCCAGCATGTGTGGAGGGTTTAATGGATCTTGTCTGAGTCCCTCTTCTAGCTTGTCCATTCCTCTTTAAATCTTGGAATTCAAGAGATTTTAGGCAGATTGGGAATTGCTTCTGGATTTTTTTCATCTGGAAAAATTGCTCACTTGTACCTCCTTTTCTTGAGGTACCATGTTTGCCTGTTTCTGTCGTTCTGAATTTGTCATGTTGCTAAATCAAAATGGCCTCCTGAGGTTTTCCACTAGGGGCCTTGCTTCAGAATATTTACCCAGTGTTTAGCTCATAAACACACTAGTGTACTGAGCCCTCACAGACATGAGGGCAGACACAGCTGGAAAGGAGACCCATTGGGTCACTTCCTTCCCTCTGACACTCCATAGTGCTTGATTTTGTTCAGAAAGATGGGGTTGGTGTCTTCAGTTTAAAATCCAGTTCACAAAAAAGTCACTGCAGATTGAGTAACAGGTTAGATCTTCATCTACAGTGTTCGGTGCTTGTAGAAGTAGGACATCTGTCAACAAGCAAGTGCTTGCCAAGTGCACTAGCTTTAAAGGCAGCATTCCTTATGGGTGCTGATAGCCCCACTTGTCACTTCAGGCTAGATGTTGTGCTGAGTACTTGTCCCTCTGTTCCTTCATATTTTGTGGTGCTAAGGTTCAAACCCAGAGCCTGTGTGTGAGGCAAGTCGCCATCACTGAGCTACACCCCCAGCCTGTGTATACATTTTTTGTTGTTGTTGTTTTGGTACCGGAGATTGAACTCAGAGGCACTTGACCACTGAGCACATCCCCAGCCCTATTTTGTATTTTATTTAGAGACAGGGTCTCACTGAGTTGCTTAGTGCCTCAGCCTCCCCGGCTGCTGGGATTACAGGTGTGCACCACCACTCTTGGCTCCTGTATACTTTATGTTAATTTCGGGGGGAGGTATCAGGATTTCACCAAGTTGCCCAGGCTGGCCTTGAACCTGCTGTCCTTCTGCCTTAGCTTCCCTAGTAGCTGGGACTACAGGCAGGAGTTCCTGTGCTTGGCTTTTTTTGTTCCTATTTATATGTTAAATTTATACAGTAACCTGCCACAAAGATGCTGCTGTTCCTGGTGAGCACGTTGAGTCTCTCATGCTGAAACTGATTGGCACAGGCTGCATATGCCCTGTGACTGCCAGGAATACCCACTAGTGTACAGGATCTACTCACTCACATTAACTGATCTCGTAAGCTATGTGGAACTGGTCAAGTGTCTCACAATGACCACCAGCTCTGCCCTTCTCCCAGCCCTATGGTGTAGAGAATTTCATTAGCTTGTGACTGAGAAAATTGAAGACCAGAGAAGAAATGTGAATGGTCTCAGGAGTAGGGCTGCAGTAGGACCCAGGACAGTGAGAGCTCAAGGTCTGCATTGCCTGGTGCTCTTGCCTGAATAAAAGGATCTCTGGGAACACAAATGCCTGTACTACCAGCCTGTCCTTAAGCATGGGTTTTTCTTGAGGGAGGCCAGGTAGGACACTTGCAGCAAGTTTCTTGTCTTGCCCTGTGATGGGCTTCAGGACTAGTTTACAGGAGGCTTGAAGCAGTTTGCCGGGACAGCTACTGTCCTCTGGTCAGTGTGAGACTTAATGTCTTCAGGTTTGCATCAGAACCAGCTCCTCTCCTGCAGTCTAGCCCAGTGTCCTTGTCAGCAGAAGGAGCCTCTATGCTGTGCGCCCCTCCTCCGAAGGGAAAGGTCACTAATGTGGACGGCCTGCACAAAGGCCAGAATGCCACATAAGCCACGGTGACTTTTTTTTTTTTTTTGATCAGCTGGGTTTATTTTAAAAAACAAGCTGACCCTTGGTCCATGTGCAGAGTGGTTACTCCCTGTCCCTACTGAGCACAAGAGCCATCCACAGCTGCTCTTCTGTAGATGCTGCCGTGTTCCTTTGTTCAAAACAGAAGTCAGTAGAGAAACAGTTTTTATTTTTAACATCTGTCAAAGCCCATGAAACTTCTTGTTGCCTCCTCTTGGTTGAACCAGTGGGTAGGCAGGGAACCTGGTTCCGTCTCTTCACTGTGTCAGTGAGGAAACAGGCCCAGACATGAGTTGTCTTCTCAAGCCACTCAGTGAGGGCTGGTGGTGCTGGACAAGAGCAGCATTGATTGACTGGCCAGCACCCTTCCCTGGTCCAGCTCTTCCCAGGGGGACTCCTGGTCGCATTTACGCAGGTATCAGGCACTGCAGCTCCACAAGATAAACCAGAGGCCCTTAATAAATGTATGTGGAAAAAAAAAATGAACTCAAGAATTAATGTTTAAAAATGAGACATTTTCTTCTCTAACTTTGAAGTCAGTTCTAGAAGCACCCCTAAAGGGAAATTTCAAACTGATTTGTGAAAAGAGAATACTTTTACTATGAATGTATAAACCTCTGTTAGACATACAATATTTCTGAAGTTATTTGAGACATTGTATTTCGATTTTGTTCACCCAATTTAATGTGTTTTTTTTAAGTTGTAGATGGATACAATGTATTTATTTTTAACTGGTGCTGAGGATCGAACCTAGTGCCTCACCCTTGCAAGGCAAGCGCTCTACCACTGAGCCACAACCCTGGTCCCCAATTTAATGTTTTTGTCATAAGATTTTGTAAAAACATTTAAGTGGTTGTTCTCAGGGACTGCTAATGATCTACCCATTTAAAAAGGTGCTTAGATAGTTTGCTGTCTCCCAGATTCATTTATCTCACTTGAGAAATTTCTTGACTAATACTTAAGTCTTAATACTTAAGATTTAAGTGTCTTTTGATTGGCATGAACAGTAATTGACTCTGACCAGGTCTGAAGCAAAGACAGGAAAGTAAGAGAAAAGTCTCAGGGAGACTTCTCTGCACCAAAGCTTTGTTGAGAACCGGTTTGGGCTCGGTGGGGACAGGTATTGGAGGGATCCTGATGGCCCAGGGGCAGATGGTGTGCTAGACTCAGCAGCTGGATCTGTCTTGGCCAGTCAAGCACGACATTTGGAGTAAGCCTCTTCATCTCAAAG